TTTTAAACCTTAATAAAAAATCGATACAGGGCTTTAGAATATCGATACAGTATCGGGGAAATGAAATATCGCGATATTTCAGTGTATCGATATTTTCTTACACCCCTAGTTGCCATGGCCCTGATATATTTATTGGCCCACAGAGAACCAGCTGGTAATGTTACTGATGCCTTAGTTTCTTTTGTTTTGCCCAAGAAAACTTGTCAGAAGCTAACATTCAGTTTTTATTGATATCCCAAAGAAAGATGGTTTCCAACAAGCAGTATAAATACAGAAAAATAAAAACCCAATAATATTGGGTAATATTTTTAGGAGCTTTACTTGTACTCAATCAAATTGCGAAATTTAAATAATTTCAACTGAGAAAACCTATTTGTTGGATGAACATAGCAATTTCTAATAATAATTCTTAGCTCTTTTCTGTGAAATAAAAATAAATATGTAATTGATTTCCCTCAATACAGTTTCATCATCATTTAAAGACTTATTACAAGTCCTCAGCAAATTTCAAAATATGTCTGTTCTCATGGGTATTCCTCCAGGAATCGGTGTAAAGAGTAAACCCCAGTGAAGACAGGACACAGCCCTGAGGTGAGCCTGTTGACCAGAAGGACCTGAGTGACCTGAAGCTGTTAATTCTCACAGAGTCATCACTCTGACAAAACCTTCAACAGCCAGAACACAAGATTAACATTCAGATCAAACTCTGACAAGACTTACCTGCAACAACACGGCTGGTTGATGTTACATGCTAGGGCTGGGTATCGATTCAGATTTCCAAAATCGATTTGATTCACAGGGGCCTGATTCGATATGATTCACAATTCAGTTTGATTTTTAAATTAGTTAAGGATATCAAGCAGTAACACATTTACTTTGATGTGTAAGACATTCTCAAAGAAATTAACTCTGCAAATAGTAGAAACTAATTTTAACTTGGTTTGGTGGTAAAATAAACATTAAGGACAAACTTGTAAATTGGAGTTTAATCTTGAAACAAAACTGTTTGAAGTTTCAAAGGTTTAAACTAAAAAGGAATTGACAGAGAAAGTGTTGTTGATACTTTAGTTTTTAAAAGAAACTAAGAATAAATTTCTTCATCAATCAGAAGTGATGGAATAAGGTTACAGGAGAGGAGGTGGGATAATATAAGTGTTTACTTATGCCCACTCTTTCGAGATAATTGTATATTTGTAACGTTTCTGTTAGCTTCTGTTCAGTAAAACTTATTAACAAGAAGAAATTTTTAAAAAAGTACTTAAGTTAAACATTCCACCACTGTGAATTACATTAAGATGTTTCTAAAATTTATAAATATTGGTAACAAAACTAAAGCATTTTGTTAGACTGACATCTCTCACACATTTATACATGCAGAGGAGAACAGTTTCAGTCAGATGTTTACAGATCGTAGTTTTGGTTCGACGTCTGAGCACAGATGTTTGCAAACAAAAGTCATCGTGGTTTCTGTTGAATCAGCTGTAATGTTGGTGAAGACAACTTGTTGTCGGGAGCTAATGTTAGCGCTCACCGTCAACCGGCTGTAAACCTACGGCAAGCCAGGAGTGACACACAGCATGGAAACTCACAGCTTCATCGCACACAACACTCGTGGGGAAAAATGCATCTCATGACTTATGAATCGATTTTCCCAAATTTGAACGAGAATCAATCCAGATCGATTAAACAGATTGTTTAAAATCCAGCCCTATTACATGCAGGTGAAAACTGCTTTGCATGTGTTTCAGGGACCTCCAGGTGCTTCCCTGAGGTTTATTAACAACATTAGTTTTAAACAACAACCAGACATAGACACACAGAATATATAAACCCTCCTCTGCTTAATCACACACAGACTACTGAGGTTAACTTAATGGGAAAACTGATCTCATGCCGTATAAAACTATGTTGCAAAATTTAAATGAAATTAATTCAAGATTAATTTAATGGACCTAATCTTAGGTGGTTCTGTGATCCTTCAGGGGTCTGGATCCAGCTGAGACCCAAGCTGCTGTAGATCTACTGACTGGTTGTCAAGTCTCAGCTTCTGTGGAGTGGAGTGTTACTGTCAGTGTTGGTGCTGGAGCATCATGTGAATGATGAACTCCTGATGATCTGATTGGTCAGGGGTCTGTGGTCAGGGGTCTGTGGTCAGGGGTCTGTGGTCAGGGGTCTGTGGTCAGGGGTCTGTGGTCAGGGGTCAGGGGTCAGGGGTCAGGGATCTGTGGTCAGGGATCTGTGGTCAGGGGTCTGTGGTCAGGGGTCTGGGGTCTGGGGTCTGTGGTCAGGGGTCTGTGGTCAGGGGTCTGTGGTCAGGGGTCAGAGGTCAGGGGTCTGTGGTCAGAGGTCAGAGATCTGTGGTCAGGGGTCAGGGGTCTGGGGTCTGTGGTCATGGGTCAGGGGTCTGTCAGGCATCTGTGGTCTGTGGTCAGGGGTCTGTGGTCAGAGGTCTGTGGTCAGGGGTCTGTGGTCTGTCAGGCATCTGTGGTCTGTGGTCAGGGGTCTGTGGTCAGGGGTCTGTGGTCAGGGGTCTGTGGTCAGGGGTCTGTGGTCAGGGGTCTGTGGTCAGGGGTCTGTGGTCTGTGGTCAGGGGTCTGTGGTCAGGGGTCTGTGGTCAGGGGTCAGGGGTCTGTGGTCAGAGATCTGTGGTCAGGGGTCAGAGGTCAGGGGTCTGTGGTCAGAGGTCAGAGATCTGTGGTCAGGGGTCTGGGGTCTGTGGTCAGAGATCTGTGGTCAGGGGTCTGGGGTCTGTGGTCAGAGATCTGTGGTCAGGGGTCTGGGGTCTGTGGTCAGAGATCTGTGGTCAGGGGTCAGAGGTCAGGGGTCTGTGGTCAGGGGTCTGTGGTCAGAGATCTGTGGTCAGGGGTCAGAGGTCAGGGGTCTGTGGTCAGGGGTCTGTGGTCTGTGGTCAGAGATCTGTGGTCAGGGGTCAGAGGTCAGGGGTCAGGGGTCTGTGGTCAGAGATCTGTTGTCAGGGGTCTGTGGTCAGGATCAGGGGTCAGAGGTCAGGGGCATCTCCACACTGCTCAGACTGAGGCCACAGTGCTGCTCTCTAATGGTCTCAGCTGAATAGACCTGATGACTCTGGTGGAAACATGTGTGCAGTTGTTCTTGATGTGTCACATGACCTGTGTGTGTGTGTGTGTGTGTGTGTGTGTGTGTGTGTGTGTGTGTACAGGAGCGTTACAGGCAGGACTGCAACCTGGCTGTTCAGCTGCTCAAATGCAACAAGTCTCATTTCAGGAACCACAAGTTTGCTGATGTAAGTACTGATACAATTATTAGTTTTATTGTGTGTGGGGTTTTTGTTGTTTCACTCAAATATGTGTGGATATTTTGAGTAAATGACTGCAGTTATGATTTATATTTTCTATGTTGTTTTTCCCAAATTAATCAACATTTTTAGTGCGGGCTGTCTGATTATTTCTGACTTCTTCACATGTTCAGTTTATTAATGTTAAAGCTTTAATCAAACGAGTGCTGCTCAGAAGAAATTAAAGGTTAAACTTCCTCACCCTAACCACAGAGGACAGATGTAGCTCACTAGTCCTCTAATCAGAGCTGGTGGTTCGATTCCTTGCTATTCTGTCACATGTCAAAGTGTCCCAGAGCAAGACCCTGAACCCCCGCTGCCTCTGATGTGTCCCATCAGTGTATGAGTGAGATTTAAAGCCCTGGTTAGTCTCTGTAGATGATTATACGTTAGCTTTGTAGAGACATAAGAGCTGTGTGAGTCTGTGAATGAGGACACAGATGTAAACACTTTGAGTATCCTGGTTGGATAGAGAGGTATATAATTACAGTCCATTTACCATCTAACAGCTGAGGGGAGAAATCAATAAACTGCTAAATGACCTGAATTTTAGAAATAGGACAAGTAAAAAATGTTTTTTGTTCCTTCGTTGTTTCTAGAGACTACAGAAATGATTTAAATAAGGTAGAAATGCAGCGTTTCCATGTCTCTAGTGGAGCATGAACCCTATTGTATCTGTTCCATCTACTGTACCTGCCTCTGTACCATCAGTAAAACTCATACTGCATCTCAGACCACAGGGACTACAGAGAAGATTTGAACAGGATAGTTAAAAAAGGTTACGAGCACGGAGGAGAAAAATAATCAGACGTCAACCTATAGGGGGCGCCATAATCAGTGTCTTTGCATTGGGTCCTCTGGATTTTAAACCAGAACTCACAACATTTTTGGCGTATAGCTCTATAATCCCTGGACACCACTGAGTCACATGGTTTAGGCCACACCCATTTCTGCCTAAACTTTTTTTTCTACAGCACAAAATTTGCAACAACTACATTTGGCTTTGTTTTAAAGATTTAAAGTCCAGTTGCCACGAAACTCACCATCTTGTATCTAGTTAATATGTTGATTGTAAGTCTTGAAGTAGAATTAGAAAAATATAAAAATGTGAGTTATGCTTAGGCAAGGGGCAAGGCACCCCTAACCATTCCGCTTAATTTATGACCAGTTACAACTCCACTAACCCCCCAACCCGTAATTTGCATTTTCTTTCAAAATTTTTAGTATTTTGTCTTTTTTTTGTTTTGTTTTATTTATTAATCATCACATTTTTTCACTCCCTTTTGGTTCTGATGGGCCAGTTTTTGTCTGTGGTTCTGGTGTTTATGTGCTGAATGAAAGTTGAAAGTTCAGTTTTCTTGCTTCCTTTGTTCTGGAGGTTAGAAACATTGAGCAGCTCAGAGGTGAAGTTCAGACAAAGTCCTTCAGTTCTGGGTTGGAACAGAAACAGAAGACCAATGAAGTTAAAACTTTAAAAGGTATCAACTCCTTGGGTTTTGACTAAAAGAAAACTGTCTGATATCGGTTCTGTTAACAGATGGGTTCGGGTCCAGCCTTGTGTCTCTGACCCACAGGTGAGCTGATACCCAGTGATGATCAGATCTGAATCAGACCTGATCATCAGGAGTAAACATCTTCACCTACGTATCTGCTGATCTTTGACCCTCAGGTGTGTCCACCTGCTGTTAGGTAATGTCTCAGTTTAGAGATGGACCTTTGGTCCAGGTTATGGTCTGCTTCCTGTTTGTGTAGTTTTAGATGTAGAGCATTATTTCTGCAGATTAAAACCAGAGAGTGAGTGGACTGCAGAGGTCACAGACAGGATGTGAGTGTGTTAGAGAGAGAGATTGATTTTGGAGATGATGGCTGCATTAGATCCATTAGACTTTATGAAGACTCAGCATCACGTTCCATAAAGCACATCACCACCATCACTGCATGTTTGAGTCTGCATTCCTGTCTTTGTGTAGACTCAGGAAGTATAAATTATTGGTCTGAAGGTGTAAACATCTCAGATCAAAACTTTTTCACACCTGAGATCAGCTTTACTGGGTTTCCATAGTCTTACATGTCTGCAATTAGATACAGATAGATTATAGATTTATAATTGTTCAGGTCTGGAGAGGTTTGGAAAAAGGGAGTTTCCAGAAGACACACACACACACAGGTTTGTTTTTTATATCCCCGTGGGGACCTTCCATTGACTTCCATTCATTGTTTGGTAATTTTACAGCAGGTGTGCCCAACCTTTTTTGAACCAAGAGCTACTTTTGAAGTTGGCATTTTGCCAAGATCTACTCTTCCAGTCTCAGTATCACAAAAACATAATTTTTCGTCTCCCTACTCCTCACTTCTTTAAATAAAACAGAATGTAATGTGTTGCTAGTTTTATTTAATTTAAAGTATTGTCAAACAAAACTATCTACTTATAATATCTACTATATTTACCTACAAAAAATAGAAATGATAAAATCCTTACTTAACTCCTGACAGAGAAACAGAAAAGTGA